CATAAGTTATTAAAAAAAAAGGATACATCATTTCGGATTTAAAGTTTAGTTTGTATGGTTTAAAACTTCGTTTTTGGTTATCGTTTAGGATATCTATGTAGAAGAAGAAACCACATAGATACATGAATCAGAGAAGTAACTTTGTGAGGTTGTTTCTTTTTTCTTTTTCTTTTTCTAACAAAATGCGAGTTCAGCATAACCGACATTCCAACAATATGGATACAACCAACTAAACTACATATTAATATGGGAAAGTTGTCATAAAATCTGTCAAAAAATACAAAAAAAAAACTCCAACTTTAATTTGGGTAAAATAATGCGCTAATTTTTTTATTGCCTTTTTATTTTAATCGATATAATTTTTATTGACTTCCAATCGCTAATTTTTGTTGAGTTTGCCAAATAAGGCAATGGACTGTCATGATTCAAATACGAAGTGAAACCCATGAACTCCAATACACTCATATGTGTGTGATTGAATGCGTGGGGGGGGGGGGGGGGGGGGGGGGGGGGGGGGTTTCTAGTTTTATCTCATATTTGGTGTGACGAAAAACATTTCTTATATCTCACGTTAACTTCAACATAATAACCCTAAAGAATTTTCATATTAAACCTTGTAACTTGTTATTCAAGTTACTTCAACGAATAACCCTAATTAAGTTTTGTTTTCTTCTTTTCAGCAATGATTTTTTGAGGTAATTTTGTTCGGTGAAAGGGAGGAAGTGGGCAGCATGTGTTATACAAGCAGAATGAAAGAGACATTGTAGAAGGAAGTTCACAAAAAATTTATGCGAAGAAGAAAGCAAACACATACAAGTTCAAGTAAAGAAATTGTCTAGTTTAACGAGTCAGCCCATGTTCCATGGGACAAATCCTAACAGTACAGTTTATTAAATAAATGTTTAAATGGGTCGCCATAAACTCTTTGTACTACTATTAGAAGAATGATTATTACTAGCTTAAGTTTGTTTAAAGCTATAATTGATTCTTAAATCTTAACCAATTTTATTTCTATTGGTTTTTCTGACAGAAATATGGATAATATATAACTTGAAAAATAACATAGACACGATACAAATTATCACTTAACCAAATGGGAGTATAAAGACAACTTGGAGCAAAAGCTATTATGTTGAGGGCTCTTCTTTGCTAAAGTATATGCAACAACATTAAAGGACCAATTTACATATATATATGGGAAACAAAGGAAACTAATTTGGGGAAAAAAGGAAAGAAATTATACAGGTTAAGTAAATTGGGTAAATTACCAAAAACATATATCACCAATTGGTAGAAACTAGAAAGAAATTGTTCTGTAACAGCTTTTTTTTTTTACTAATTTTAAAAGCATTAGTAAAATTTGGACAATTCATTTTGGAGAAATAAACATAGTAAAAGCAATGTTTTTAAACCCGACCCGGATGGTGAACCGGACTACCTTCTGGGTCACCGGGTCAATGGGTCAACCGGGTTCGACCACGGGTTAATTGATTCAAATGTATTTAATGTATTTAATATTTATATAGATTATATAGTTTTATAAAAATAAAAATAAAAATAATCATACCATGTTTAACAAAGTATGAAGTCTAATAATAATTATAAAGTGATTTAAATTTATAAATCCATCTAAAACCGTTTGAGAAGAACCCAAAAAACTGAAAAAGTTCTGAAAATAATTGAATAGTGAATAAACTAATAGCCTAAAACCTTATATTTATCTCAAAAGACCAAAATCAAATGAATTTTGTCAAACCCATACCCGGCCGGTTCAACCGGTTCACCGGGTCGCGGGTAAATGGCGGGTTTTTGTGGGTTTTTTCGGTTTTGAAATTACCGGATATTAGCACTAAACCCAAACCGGAAAAGTGTCCGGGTCGTGGGTTAACTGGTCGAACCGGGCGGTTCGGGTCGGGCGTGAAAACACTGAGTAAAAGTTATAATTGTTTAACCAAATAAAAATAAGCAAACCAAATTAGATTGACAAAACCAAAAACTAAACCGAACTAAACCAAAACCTAACGAAAAAGGAATATTCTCGAGAACCGACTTCACTCATCCCTAATTTACACACTCTTATACTATTTCTCGCCGCCGCTTTTGTATCTTCTCTCTAGCTCGCTTTGCTCTCTCGGAAAATTTCGCAGAAATCTCTCTCGTAAGAATCGATCTATCAACTTCTTCTCCATATTTGCTTCTCTAGTTTCGAAATTTCATCGACGATTCACTGATTTTACTTGGTGTTTTCTTTGGTACTAGATCTGAACTCAGAAAATCTCCGAGTTCGTATATCTTCTCCGTTTGAGCAATGGCGTTGGTAAGTACTCACTTCTGAGCTCATTACACGTTCGATTAGATCCGTGACGATTGCTTTTAGTGATCTGTTGATGATAGTTTTCGAATTTTGATTCGTGCATGTTGCATCTGTGATCTATAACGATCTGTTGTTGATATACTTGTTTGCTATTGTTCTAGTTTGAGTTCTAATTCAACTTTAGAATTGGATTTTGTGTTGCGTAGATATGCAATTTCTGTTGAGTTTCATTGATGAATTTTGTGGGAATCTTATTATTTTCAGGTGTTACACACATACAAGGGAAACAAAGGTGCCAATAAGGCACTTATTGCTGCGGAGTATGCGGGTGTGAAGATCGAGGAGGCCTCAGACTTTCAGATGGGCGTCACTAACAAAACCCCTGAGTTCCTTAAGATGAACCCTATTGGAAAGGTGTGGAATCTCTTTCGATAAGGTGTTTGTTTTGATTGATGTTTGCTGTAATTTCCTAGCTTATTAAAGGTTATGATTCACTAGGTTCCCGTGCTTGAGACTCCTGAAGGTCCTATCTTTGAGAGCAATGCCATTGCCCGATACGGTATAATTTCATTTCCTTCTACTGTTAATTTTGTGCATATCTATTACTTGTTATTGATTTGATGTAATGACTGTTTTGTTATCCCACTTCAGTGAGCCGTAAGAATGGTGAAAACTCTTTGAATGGATCCTCCCTCATTGACTACGTAAGCTCCTGTTTATCCCATGGCCTCTCCTTTAAAAATTTTGTTTTTAATATGATTATACCTTTGTGTTTATCCCTTGTTTACTGTTGATTCATGTCTATGTGCATGTGTTTACTTTTCAGGCTCACATTGAGCAATGGATTGATTTTGCCACGTTGGAGATTGACACTCACATGTTGAAGTGGTTTGCTCCAAGATTGGGCTTTGCTCCCTTCTCTGCTCCAGTAAGCTTTCCCTAGTTTTTAGTGCTGCTAGTCTCGACCCTAATAGTAGACTACTCTTAAGTTCTTCTCATCTTTATAATGTTTTGGTGAATGAAGGCTGAGGAAGCAGCAATATCTGCATTGAAGAGAGGACTTGAGGCTCTGAACACACATCTCGCCTCCAACACTTACCTTGTTGGACACTCTGTTACCCTTGCTGATATTGTCACCATCTGCAACTTGAACTTGGGATTTGCTACTGTGATGACCAAGAAATTTACCTCTGCATTCCCTCATGTTGAGAGATACTTCTGGACAATGGTTAACCAGCCAAACTTCAAGAAGGTGTTGGGTGATGCCAAACAAACTGAAGCTGTCCCTCCGGTTCCATCTAAGAAAGCTCCACAGCCTGCAAAGCCCAAGGAGGAGCCTAAGAAGGCGGCCCCTGTTGCAGAGGCACCAAAGCCTGCAGAGGAGGAAGAAGCACCAAAGCCTAAAGCCAAGAATCCTCTCGATTTGCTACCACCAAGCCCAATGGTTCTTGATGACTGGAAGAGGCTTTACTCGAACACCAAATCCAACTTCCGTGAGGTTGCTATTAAAGGTATGTTATATGATCACTTCTCTTAATGTGCTTTTGAAGAGATGCAGGAAAAACTTTTTAGGCTTATAGAATCAATCTGTTAAGAACAAAGCTACAAGACTCTTGCGGACTTAGTCAACCTATTCAATTGATCAACTATAGAAAACCCATACCCTAAACAATCTGCTGTGACATCCTTATAATACCAGTTCTTACTAATTCTTACTAACTGCTCTCTAAACAACTTACAGCAGCTCTAGTTTTCTAGATTCCCTCCTAAGCTAGATATAGTAGACTTATAGCTTAAGAGTTGGGCCTGAAAGTACATTCTATTAAAAGCTCACTACCTTTAATGTTTGTATTCAATGCAGGATTCTGGGACATGTATGACCCAGAGGGGTACTCACTATGGTTCTGTGACTACAAGTACAACGATGAGAACATGGTCTCCTTTGTTACACTCAACAAGGTAGGAGGGTTCCTTCAGCGTATGGACTTGGCACGTAAATACTCCTTCGGAAAGATGCTTATTTGCGGGTCAGAGGGTCCTTTTAAGGTGAAGGGTTTATGGCTTTTCCGTGGACCAGAGATCCCCAAGTTCATAATGGATGAGGTGTATGACATGGAGCTGTACGAGTGGACTAAGGTTGATATCTCAGATGAAGCACAGAAGGAGCGTGTTAGCCAGATGATTGAAGACGCTGAGCCATTTGAAGGCGAGGCTCTTTTGGACGCCAAATGCTTTAAGTGAAAAGGCTCTTCACTGTCCGTTGTATCCCTCTTATCTCCATAGGGGTTTACTCTGTTACTCGTTTTGATATCTTCTAGAGTCCCTTACAATCTTTTGAAACGTAGATTCGGTTTTCTTTCTTGGATTTAAGAACTAGTCGCTTCTCATGTTATTGTGACAGAATGTCTTACTTAAAACTTTACAACTTCTAGTTATTGTGTTTATTATCATTATTATCAAAACTCGAGTGTGACATGTCACTAGCCGCATGATTCATCAGCTTGAGGCACGTATCCAATAAGAAAAGTCTCACAAAGAGATAAAAAGAGGCATCGTATGAAAAAGAAATCGTAAAACCAAATACCTAATATGAGTTTAGAGGCTTAAGATAACATAATATTATTATCTCAAGAAAATTCAACAAATCGAATCATTACAATATTATCTCTAGAAAGTCAGCAAATCTTTAGCGTAACAGCTTTGATTATAAGATTATTACAAGTAGTCGGCGAACAAAAGAAACGTGTGAATGAATCCATCTTTCTTAATCTAAAAACCCTAAAACAAAAATCTTCATGACTCTGTTTAGGAGTAGTAGTAGGGATGGTTGTCGTCATCGTCATCTTCAAGAATAACAGTGCGGCAGAGAGGGCAAAGAGTACTATCAATTAACCACTTGTAGATACAGTTATCATGAAACACATGGGGACAATTCGGCATCTCAAAGTCTTGTACATCTTCTGACATATCCTCCAAACAAATAGCGCATGTCTCATTGTCTTGAGTAGAACTAGAAGAAGATGATCCGATGAATCTCACTGTGCCGTGAAGGTACATGTTAAAAGGCGCTGGAACTCGCTCGGAAGCTAAAGCCATCTCGACGCAGAGACGACTGCGTAAGAGATCGTCTTGGAAGGTTGAATAGAGGAGAGAAGATGTCTTGTGTGGATCAAAGCTAACCATGTTGTTTAAGATCAGGTGAGTGATTGGGAACGGAGGAGCATGATCACACGTGTCGTCTCTCTCAAGCTTGAGATTGATCTCGACTGTATTTGATGCAGACTTGCGTGGACTCGGAAAGACGTTAACATCAATGGTGATTTCTGGAAACATTATTGTTTTTGGAATTTGGAATTACCAGAGAAGGTATGAAATCGAACAAGCTTAAGAGACAGGAGGTAGAGAGGACGTGACTTGTGTTGTGTTGATTGTTGACAAGTAATCTTGTGTTGTTGTTATTTTATAACTAAACTCTAGTCGGCGCTTTCCATTTTGTTTTTACAATTTCCTTTTTTTTTAAACTCCTTTTTTTTTTTTTTTACAATTTCCTTTTTTTTTTAATCTCATATTTTTATTCTCAAGTATCCTAAAATCTCTAGTAATCACCACTAAGATTTGTAAATAGTTATTCTACAAATTAATTATCTCAAATCAATTAAAATGATCTTAAAATTTTGAAAGTATCCAAATAAATCCAAATGATTAAAGGAAATCCCAAAACCCTGTATTATCTAAAATCTAAAATGAAGAAAAGGAAAATGTGAACAACACCAAAACGCAACACCTAATGGATTACTATGCATCGCTTATTAATAGTTACCGTAGAAGCCAAGCAAGAACAAGAATCATATCTTCTTACTAAGTACTAACGGTGACTTTAAGACCATGCTTCATACTGAGAATAATGCCAGAAGGAACAGGTTCGATCTTGTGACCTTTAATGATCATAAAGTCATAGTTTCATATGATGTCCACAGCTACTATCTTCATCTCCTCTTTTCTTGAAGATATGATCTTCGCAAGCATTTGATTTACAGTGACCATCGAAGTTCTCAGCTTCCTCTCAAGACCAATCCCAATCCCGTTTTGAAGCTTCCACAAACTCAACGGTTTGAGATGTCTATAGAAGATCACTTCTTCACCGAGATCTACAGCTTCACCAATCTCAACTTAAATTGATAGAGACATAAGATCGTAACCAGTCATTAAAATCGAAGAAGTATCAAACATAAATCTCTGCAACACATCTTGTAAGTCCATGATGATGTTTTTCTAAGCAGCAATATCAAGAAAAGACCAAACATCCTTCTTTAACTTACTTATCTACTCATTGAGAGCTCAAGAAAATCTTAATGGTGAAAAGTGGTGTGATTTGACTTCCTTAGATCCTCCCACAACTCCGAATCAGCGGCTAATATGCCATCTCCCAAATCATCAAAGATCTTCTTGATATCAAGTCCTTTAGGGTAGTTCCTAAAGTTTAAACTAAATATGTGATGAATGTTCTTTGGATCAGCCGTGAGTAACAAGTCTGTTCCAGTAAACCAGGACCCTCTGAGAGAAAAAGTCAGATCGTTGGCCTCAAGAACGGTCGAGTCAAATATTCGAGGGATTTGGACGAGCAGACCTGGAAGCATCCCTAGGAAAGGCCAGTTCTTCAGCAAAGGGCTTCACTGAGATTTCTTGTGGAGGAAGAAACATTGGAATACAAGGAAAAAAGCCAATGCTATGATGAAGACTTCAGGTCTTCATGGTCGATCCAATAAAAACAGTTTTTTCGGTAATCATATTCCATATGAGTTTCTAAAAACAATTGTGGTCAGAACTCATAAGGTTTTGAGAATAATCTGTCAGGTTTTTAGATTTTATTACGAATGCAAAAAAGGATATCCATACAAGGAAACATAAAGATATGGAAGATATCAACAAAATAAAATAAAAAAGGAAAACAATGCTCATCATATAGAAAGCATCTCAACCGTCTGATTAAAAGCTAAGAAACTTGTTTGCTTCTCTTTATTTTAGGTTTTCTTCTTTTATTGCTTCCAAGAAACCGATCCCCTAAAATATGAACGGAAGAGAAAAGAAAGTTAGAAAACTTCCAATAAGAAGAGCAAACAACAATGGATCAATGACCAAGCATCATGATCATGTTTCAGAGGAGATTCTGATTGAGATACTAGCGAAGTTACCATTGAGAAGCATCAGGAGATTCAAATCGGTTTGCAAAACATGGAAATCGGTAACAGAAACAGATTATTTCCGGCGGCTCTTAGTGTCTCTGCACAAAAACTCGTCTTCCTCATGGTCACTAGTGGTGGGGACCAAGGCAAGAGACCTCATAAGCTTGCATAGATGCGAGACATGGGATCTTCCAAAGTCTCTAGCTTGTTATATTCAGAGTCATATAACAACAGGTCATCTCGACTACGTGGCCTCTTCCAATGGATTGGTTTTCATGGATGGATATAATACTTCCTTCGTGGGCAATCCAGTATTACAACAATGGGTTCAAATCCCTTCCCTTCAATATCCTTTTGTAACGCTTCCCTTTGGTCTTGTGACCCGCGTGGACGACGACGGCGTCGTTCTTGGCTTCAAAGTGGTTAGGATCGCTGGAGATAAACAAAAGAGACAAGAATCATTGACTATGTTGTGTCTTTGTGTGTATTCGTCTGAGACAGGCGTTTGGTCTAAAAAGCCACTTGATTGCTCTCATTACTTTACGAGCTGGGGTCTTCCTATGGCTCTCAACGGGACGCTTTTATATCACCAGAAGATATTGATGATCCTGCTGCTGTATCATGAGCGCTTATAGCTCATGATTTCTATGGTGAAGAATCCGATCTATGTCGGGTTATACCTCTCCCGGATCATGATTTGGATCACAACTGGTGCTTCAAAAGAGCCTTGACTACATCCGGAGGATCAGTCATGTATATCAAAACACTAGCTCACAATCTTTTGAAGGTTTGGATGTTGACCAAAAATGATGATTGGAAGCTTCTGTGGGAGATACGCCTCCCGTTTATAACTTGTGATGATGATATCCCCTATTATGCTCCCTTGGCAATGAATCCGTTTGATGGCAATATTGTCTACTTATGGAGCCAACAGAAGCGTTATTTGGTATCGTGTAACTTGCAGACGCACAACTTCAAAATCTTGAGCGAAGAAGAAGTATCTACAAGGCGTATTGATGATGATGGTCTTGAAAAATGTGTCGTGAACCAGTCTACATGTGAGCAGCTTATGAATGCGAGTTTTGATCCAGACTCATTGGACGATTGTGTATATCCACTCACTCTTTTTCATTTCGTTCTCCCACGGTGGATGGAATCGCTACCATGTCCTCCCCAAGTTGAGATGATGGATACAAGTTCGCTACTCTCTTACATTCTTGTAATGGAGGCGAATAGACCAGAGTTTAAGGATACCTTTGGAATTCGTGAACGCTTGTTGCGTAGCCGTTTCTTCTCGACAAAACGGAGAGAATAGTAGAGGCGAATAGGGGTTTTTCGATTCGATCTTTTGTGTTTTTTTTTTAATTTGTTTGTTCCGGATTTTTTCCCAATTTTTTTTTATAATTCTATCGTAGTATTTGATGTTGATTTCGATGTTTTAAGTCTTGTTGAAACATGTTACGTGGTATGCCTCTCAAAATCTTGAGAGTTCTTTCCTTTCAGACCTTTATAATTCAGGTTCTTCTAGACTGAATTGGTTGTCATTTTTTCAAAACAGATGGTGTGTTTGGAGCAAGTAGGAGATAAATCCTATCAATAAACAGATGGTTTTTATTCGTTATCTTGTGTACATAAAAAAGAAAAAGATAACGAATTCAGTCAAGAAGAAGACTGGAGAAAATGTGAAGTTTTTGACTTTTGAACAGTAAAAGATCAATGAGAGTGTGTTTTTACCTTTTACTGCATCAGGATTAAAAATGGTTTTCTGTAATTTCTAGACTAAAGAAGCTTAATATGGTTTTGCTTAAACTGATTAACACATAATCCAAAGAACAGAGAAAGCAAAGGAGATAATAATTGTTGAAAGGATTAATGTCAAAAGGAAAAGGATTAATGTCAGAATCATAAGAGATGTCTTTCTTGTACCAAAGCTTGGCAAAAATCAATCTCTTGAGTGTTCCTCAAATGATCATTAATGAATACCAAGTCAAGTTGTATTTAGAAATCCTAGAAAGAACGAAAAATGCAGAGAAATCAAGCTGTATTTAGAAAGACAACAACTCAGGAGTGTAAAGCTGTCTTGGTTGCATTATGAGGAGACTACATACATAAGAAGAAGAAGTCATTGTTCTCTGTGTCTGTTCTTGTAATGATACAGAGATAAACAGAGCTTCCCTTTTCTCTTCCTCTATTTCTGATATCACATTTGTATGAGGCTCCACTTTATTCTCCAGCTCGTCAACTCTAGTCATCAGACACAAGCTCAGTATCTTTGACACACACCTGGATATATCTCTTGATCCACGTTTTATTTAGATGGAATATTGATCAATATTCTCCTGTTTAGATCGCGTATATTTTGTTAAGATGGCGTATCGATCCATAATTTCCTACCGTGTTCGTGTTGTATTAGGAAAATTGGCATAGACTTAGTGAAATGCAAGTCAAACAATATATTCATCCATTTATACTTTGTCATCACGGTAAAAGTTCTCTAAACCTGTAAAAGCAATCAAGTACACATCCATCCGTGGGAAGAAAGAAAGATGCTATATAATGCACCAAATCAATCAAACACCTATGAGCTCTATGCTTCACCAAAACCAGATTATTAAGCCTATGCTTCACCAAAACCAGAGTGTTAAGCCTATGCTTCACCAAAACCAGTGTATTCGTGCGTGATCCACATGATAGCTCGCTCCGTGTGTTTATATGTGTCGTAATCGGGAAGGCGAAGGCTATAGCAACAAGTTTGCGATTGAGGCTTGTATAGATTCTTTGTTATTTCCGGTGTATCCATTCTCAAGATGGAGAGTCTTGGAAGTCCTTGAAATCCATCTCTAGGCAAAAACCGGTGTGATGTCCAGAAGCACAAAAGCCTATGCAAGTCTTCTTGGTTCATTTGAGAGACCACCTGAAACAATAAAAGAATAGATCAAGTAAGTTGATTGCAATCTAAAAATTTCAACCACCAAGGAAGAAGACTTCTTACATTCCAAAACCATAAGATCACATTATCACTTCGTTGATAGTTGACATAATCGGTATATTGATTCCAATCCTCTACATTGATGACGTCATATTGTGATCCACGGAGCATTGAGTCCAAGTCTTCAAGTTTCAACAAATTGAAGAATCTATCAGCTTTAACTCCTTCATCAATCATGTCTTCAACACCATAAGAGAAATGCAGAACTTGGTCCCTGATTCGGAGAAAATAGCGGTCATACATGATCAAAGTGATGTACTCCTCTCTGTTTGAACTTGTAACTTGTCTGTTATCATTATCGTAACACAGGCCTGAGAAAGTAAGTCCATATCCCTGCAAAGCATCAAACTCTTGAGCATCCATTTCAAGCATTTTCTTGTATTTCTTGTGCAATTCCTTGTCCGTGTAAATCAAGTCTTTCCAGGAGAAGAGTTTCTTTCCAGCTAGGTGAAGGAAGAAGAGAGGATCAAACAAAATCCCGACTTGCACTTCGTGCTTCAAAGCCATAGAGATTATCCTCACAGCAAATCTGTATTTCTGTAGATAATTCTCTTCCATCAAGGGGTTCGAATGTGGGGAAAACCGTCTAGAGTCGTCTGGAGAAGGTATGAATAGCTTGTTTTCCGGATCAAATAGGTTGTTGCAGACCAAACAAAGCCACTCCCTTAATACTCCATCTCCTTCAGCTTCTTCATATTCAAACTGAATAGAAATCCCAGCATGGAAGTCCCATCGGTCTGCAGCCATGACTTGATTCAACGAATCTTTAAAGAGACTTGTTCTAGAAACCACAACCTGAAGCTGGTGATCTTCAACATCGTCTTCAATTTGTAGTAGTACTCTTGGAAACAAACTTTGAATTAGATGGTTCCTCACGTAAAAGTTTGTGAGCTCTTTTAGCTTCATGACCCAAGGTATATCCTCTTTTGTCGAAAAACAAATCAGTAAACTGCAGAATGCATCTGTCCAGCGTTTTAGAATCTCCTCAAAGCGTTTCTTAAACTCCTTATCTGATTCAGACATAGAAACAAGCTTTTCCAGAGTTGAAAGCAGAGGCCTCCATGTCTCAGGGAGTGATTCTAACAATATAGCTCCACTTGGGTGTTCCTGCGTTAGAGAATCTGCAATACGAAGAGAAGTCTTGGCTGCACACAAAATATCTTCACCGCTGTAAGTCATGTAGAGGAACCCATCTTCATCTTTGTGTGTTTCATATATCTCAGACATCAATGCAGCTGTCAATAAAACAAAAGCAGACAAGTGAGACCAAGTTTCAGGTGAAGAATGAAACTGCTGTGTTAAAAGCTCCTTACTAGTTGGTGTCATGAGTGTGTTCTTGAAAAAGACAAAGATTTCTGTCTGATCTCTTAGCTTCATTCGCTTACGAAGCACATACACAAATTCTCCAGCGTTTAGATTTGCTGGGACGAGAAACCTAAACAAAGTGTAGATTTGTAGATTTGCTTTTGTTTTTACACTTTGGTTGCTTTGAAAATAGAGAGGGAGGGAGGGAGGGAGGGAGGGAGGGAGTAGATTTGCTTTTACACTTTGGTTGCTTTGAAATTGGGGATTACACACGTGGAATTCAAGAAAAGAGAGGCATATTCCATAAAGAACTCAAAGCAGGACATCATTGTGTACCCTGGTACCGTGGTTACCGGATCGTGGGTCGGCTCTCAATGAAGGTCCAATACTATGATGTGTGTTGTATCACCAGGACAAAGGTATATTATGAGATTTTTTAATCAACCAAAGAAGAGTCAAATTTCTTATGAGATTTTCTGATGAGCATTAATCATTTTTTTTGTCTTTGTAGGATGATGTCTTTGTCAATGTTGTTGCGTCAGTTCACTTTCGAATTTTGGATGATGCAGATGTGCATAATGCAAAAAATGCATTTTATGTGCATAGTGATCCAAAGCACTTCATTAAGTCACATGCGTTTAATGGTTAGTGCCTGACCTCATCATTACTTTAAATGTCTTAATAAGCTAATTAAATTGACTAATGATATTTTCTTTATGGAATCTGCCTCTCTTTTCTTGAATTCCACGTGTATAATCCCCAATTTTGAAGCAACCAAAGAAATTACCCATCCTGTTTTGACAAAAATTTACCAAAAATGATCAATAACTCCGCAGAAATTCCATACTTTCAACAAAGAAAAGATGCTACCAAAAGGCTACTGCAGCAATTTGTATGCTTGCATATGGTTATGCGGCTGATGCGGTTGACGAGTACCTCCTGATTGGTGAAACCACTTCGTTCGACGAATTTCGCAGGGTCGCCATGAGTACAAGCTACTTCAAGCTTTTGAAACCTCTGGGTTAGTTCCTCAATTTCTCATTCTCTCTATTAGCTGTTCTCGAAGGATCATTTTTCATCTCTAATTCTGAATTTGTGATTACCGAAACTTTGGAGTTTTTGATTTTGGTTATGAGTATTGTCTACCTGAAGTATAGCAGAACACATGGCTATATATGCCAAGTAAACTAAAGGACACTAAGCACGGCCACATATATGAAGTATATGGCGTCATGTGGTCAAAATCATAAACATAGAATCTCACGAATGTATCACAGTGAGCATTGACCAACAAAAATATTCAAAAATACTTTTCTATTTATTTTTAATATTAAAAAATAATTTTATTTGGTGTTGTATAATCAGAAAATACATTTTATATCCATTTAATGAATTGATTCTTATAATAGTTAGCTTTTTCAATTTCAAAACTAAACTAAGAGTGTAAGAAAATGATTTAAAATTTTAAGATATAAAAATTTAAATTAAAACCTGAAAAATCTTATTAGAAACAATTAAGTAAGGAAATTGTTTTTTATATTATCAATTAAAAAATATTAACTTCTTATTTTCATTAGGAAATAAATCATTAGAATCAAACCCAATACATATGAGTTTCATTAGGAAATAATATGCAAAAAATTGAGTATAGAAGTTTTTAGCCTAAATTTTGTACGGTAATTGTTTTTAATTCAAAATTAAATTTTTAATAAATATTTAATCAAATAAGAAGTTAATATTTTTAATTGATAATGAAAAAAATAACTATTAATTGAAAATATTTATCAATTAAAAAAATAACTATTAATAATATGAATAGTTTATATCTTAAAAATTCTAAATAATTTTTATTACACTCTTTGAAATTCTAAAATTCTATAGTTTAACTTTGAAATTGAAAAAACTAACTATTATAAGAATCAATGCATTAAATATATGGGAGACTCACAAAAATGCCCCTTTTTCAATACCCCTTTTCAAAAATGCCCCCTTTGGCTGTCCATTTTTAAAAATATCCATTTTTATGTACAAAATGACTAAATTACCCTTCTTTTAATAAAATATATCACAAATATATAAGGAAATATAACAAAATTAGGTCCACAAAATACAAAATATTTTTTGGCGGGAAAAGTGATCCCGCAATTTTTCCCGCCAAAACACTTGTAAAAACTTATAAAAACCTTTAAAATACCTTGTAAAATTTTCCCGTAAAATTTTTTCCCGCCAAAAAATTTTCCCGCCAAAAAATTTTTTTTGCGGGAAAAGTGATTCCGCAATTTTTTTGGCGTTGAATTTTTGGCGGGAAAATTTTTGGCGGGAAAAATTTACAAGGTATTTTATAGGTTTTTTACAGGGTATTTATAAGGTTTTACAATGTATTTTAAAAGGTTTTACAACGTATTTATAAGGTATTTATAAGATATTATAAGATTTTACAAGCAATTTTATAAGGTTTTACAAGTTATAAAGTTTTACAAGTTTTTTATAAGGTTTTACAAGTTATAAATACTTTATAAAACCTTATAAGTACCTTGTAAAACCTTTTAAAATACATTGTAAAACCTTACAAAACACTTGTAAAAACTCTGTAAAACCTTTAAAAAACCTTGTAAATTTTTCCCGCCAAAAAAATTGCGGAATCACTTTTCCCCCAAAAAAAATTTTTTGGCGGGAAAATTTTTTGGCGGGAAAAAATTTTACGGGAAAATTTTACAAGGTATTTTAAAGGTTTTTTACAAGTGTTTTGGCGGGAAAATTGCGGGATCACTTTTCCCGCCAAAAAATATTTTGTATTTTGTGGACCTAATTTTGTTTCAAATAAGGGTAAAATGGTCATTAAAAAATAAAAGAGGGCAAACTTAAAAATGGACTCTCAAATGAGGCATTTTTGAAAAGGGGTATTGAAAAAGGGGCATTTTTAACAATTTCTCTAAATATATATACAAACTATATTTATATTGGATATAAAATGTGTTTTTTTTTTTATTATACAACACCAAATAAAACTATATTAATATTAAAACTAAATAAATAAAAAAATTTAAAATACTTTTGTTGGTCAACGCCAGAGTCAGTCGACTGGTTAACCTGAGATGCTATGTTTATGATGTTGACCACATGACGCCATATATTTTGTATATGTGGCCATGGAATCCATATACGTTAGGTAGCTGAGTATCATTTAGTTTACTTGGCATGTGTGACCATGTGTTCTGCTATACTTCAAGTAGCTGACAATCTTTTTTCCTATACATAATCCTGTTTATTTTTCCTGCTTTTGTTTGAATGTTATGCTTTACTCTGTGATTGATCTTTTGGTTTTACTTTGTTAATCAGAGGAAATGATAGATGAAGTTGCTCGAATTAGAGACAAGTACTTTGAAAGATTTCCGGTACATTTTCACTTGATGAACATAACATTTCATAGTCTTACTAAGTTTAGCAAAATATTAAATTGATGCCAAACTAATATTCACAAAGTGATTATTTTGAATCATTTATTATAATATCACTTTGTGAATATGACTTAAAATATTCATCAAGTATTGGTCAATAGTAATATTTTAAGTCAATTTTATTTAATTGATGCCAAACTAATTAATTATAACATCACTTAATATAATTGATGCTAAGACATATATTTACATCATTTATAAATAAATGATTCAAAATAATATCACTTTGTAAATATATATGTCTTAGCATCAATTATATTAAGTGATGTTATAATTAATTAGTTTGGCATCAATTAAATAAAATTGACTTAAAATCTATTAATTCGCATCACTTGTTAGAAACTGATATTAAATATTAATTTACATCATTTAAATAATTGATGTATTTATTAATTTTGATTAAGATCACTTTTTAAATGATACAAAATTTACATCAATAAAAACTGATGTTAAACTAAATATTAAGCTCTTCAAACAACATCTGTGGTCGGAACAAGTCCTTTAAGCAATCTCAAGAATTTGACTGATTTGTAAGTAGAGATACTGTGAAGAATTTGATTCTTTGGAATGATTCTAAAAGCTTCATATGGTACAGAAGGCAAAGATTGATCAGATAGGGTTGGGCAAGTCAGACAAGTTTGACTCTTTGGTGCCACCAGTGACCAACGGCAAGACTCCGGAGGAGGAAGCTAGTGCAGAGACGGAGGCTTCTGTGGAAGCACAAGAAGAAGTTGCCGCAGCCACCGAGGTCTAGGTTGGAGCTGGTTGAGAGATACACTACAGAAGAAGATATAAACGTACGTGATGTTTTCGATTTAGGCCAACTTATTTCATGGTAAGCACTCACTAAAAATTATAAATTATTAATCATATATACAACTAGAAAAAGACCCACGCGATGCGTGGGAAAAGTTTGAATATATTTTATCGTAAGAAAACTAAATTAGTTTAACCTAAAAACATATTAGAACCTGTATATATTAATTATAAAGAAAGTATTAACAAAAAAATCTTCCAGATTATTCATTAAAAGTATTAGCAAAAAAATCTTCCAATTTATTACTTCTGTACAGTGACTTAAAAAGTTGTAATTTACATGTTTAAATGAATCATATGATTTGACAAAACATTATCAATATATTTGAAAGGCTTGTGAATTAACATTTCCAGAGATATTGGAAAAATAATGAGAGGGCTTTGTGTAAAAAAAAAAAAAAGAGGACGGTGGACAAGAAGTGAAAAAATTGGAGAGTTGAGATTATATTGTTATCTTAAAAGTCAAATACTTGTTGATTATTACAATATTACCATCACAAATAGAATTTATACAACAATTATAGAAAACAAAATAGTACTCTTAAATCTTAGTAACTAAATAAATTTAATAAAATAATTTATTATCACTTGAGTTTCACATTTTTGCCAAATTTGTAATAAATTGTAAATTAATGTAGTGAAATGTTTTGTAACTTATGTGTATCTATAGAGGGTAACAAATTTTTGAATTAAAGTACTACAAAATAATGTTGGACTACCGTTATAAAGCTAAGAAAATGTAAAGACAATACATTAATTGTAAACATTAATAGAAATCTAATGATGTAAGATATTATTAAAAATATTTAATCGATATTTTACGAAAATTTTCAAGTAGTATAAAATATTAAATAATAAAAATAGACGTTAAAAGAAATAAAAACATGGAATATTTATGAGAGAATTTTAATTAAGAGTGGAATTAGATAATTTCTTCAATATTTATAACATGGATATTTTGTTAAATTATCATTGATATCTCTTGCATCCATTTTGATAATTTGATTTATTAATTGTTTATGTAATAGTTAGTTCACATAGCTATTAGTCTTTGTTTGACAAAAAAAAAAAAAAAAAGCTATTAGTCTTTTAAATTAGAAAGGAAATTATAAGCATCCATAGTCATAATTATAAACGGTAGTATTCATAAGTGTTGTAAAATCGAATTTATAAGAGCTTATTCAATATTATCTTTTTTTCTTATGTTACCTGTTTACTTTAAAATAATAGAAATTTAGGTATATTAATTTTAAAATATTTAAAATGTCGAAATAGTTATTTAAAATGTAGGCGACTTAAACATCATTAGAGAATCTCCAACTCCACTATATTTTTTTCTCTAAACTCTATTATAAAACACAATTCTCTCCGACCCTACTCTATATCTCATTCTAAAATAGAGTAAAAGAGAAGATTATTCTATATATAGAGGAACTCTATTTTTTTTACAATACCTCTATTTTAGAGTAGGGTATAGAGTGATACATTGGAGAGAAATCATGCTCTATTTTAGAGTAAAATATAGAGATTTACATTGGAGATGGTCTTAGGAGGTAATTTATACAATTAATGCTCCATTAATAAAAAATCATTTATTAATAACAAGATGTTCATTATTTATTTGAAAGTGAAAAGAAAAACACAATAAGAAAAATATGGCACATATCGCTTAAAACAAATATTAGAATATCTTATATATGTTAATTCTCGATTTTAAAACGACAGTAATTATTGAAAATTGCTAAGTTGAAGATTGTTAAAAAAAATCAATTTATACCGCATTAATCAGAAAATTAATTTTTCATAATAATTTATTTTAAAGGAAGAAGAAAAAATATGGCTCAGGTTGCCAAAAAAAAAGCAACTTTTATATATGTATAGAATAACTTTTAAAACTATTTTTATATGAGATTTGAAATTGTATTTAGTGATTTTGAAAACTTGTTACCTATTTAGAATTGTTAGCTAAACAAAATTCATCACCATATAGAAATATTTTTAACAATATAGTCTACATACATAAAACATATATATATATATATATATTAGGAAATATTTTCTTTATTTTCTGATCAAAAATAATAGAATTCAAATATACACATCATATCTTACCATTATAAACGTAATAACATATGACATTATGGACTGAAATATACTTAGAAAAATGACGTTAAAAACAAAATAAAATAACATATGAAGGAAAAAGGATTAGAAACCAATAAAATTAAATTTAAAGCATCAAATTAAAGGAACATATAGCATTTTAAAAAACAAATATACGCTCAAAACATCATGTATTTTGGTTTTTGATGGATGTTGGGTCTCTCATGTTGAGATTTGAGATTGGTATGTCGTATTGTGCTATTCTTATAATGATGAAATAAATTATAGTAAATTAATATTTAAATGTAACCTCCACCATGAGAAAATACATTCATTTTTAAAAAATTAAATTGCGGGGTTACAATAATAGTTAATATTGTGTTTCAATGTCATTGAATAGAAAAAAAAGTTAATACATAATTTATATGATTTAGGTTACAATTTAGTATTAAAAGGTGGATTAATGTGTATGATTAAAGAACTTACCAAAAAAAAATGTGTACGATTAAAGAATTAAATGTATTTTGTTTGTGGTTTAATAAGATATAGATAAAGTCAATTTTATTAATATATTCATTATCTTTTTATAAAAAGAAATGAATTCTCATGAGATTAGTAAGATATACTGATATACAACATAAAATAACCATAGGGCAATATGCTATATGTAAGAAATAATATTAAATTAAAAATATAACATATTATCGCATATACTTAAACTACTTTATCGCCTAATAATTTGATCTTTATTTTTTACTATAAATTATGTGAAAAAGATAAAATGTAGGAAAATATCTCTTTATTCAAAAATATCCTTAAATTATTTTATCATCAAATAATTTTGATTTTATTTTATAATTTGATTTAAAGACTATTGTGGTTATTGTTCTCAAAAATCAAATAAACAAATTTATTGCACTCAAATTAAAAAATAAACTGAAAATGACATGTGTCAAAAGATTAGAACGCCAAATGTCACATTCTTAGAGTTTGTTTTGAAAAAACCTTGTCATATTATATAAGATATCATAGGACAAATCAATATAAGTTGTTGCAATAAGATATTGATACGGGTCATTTTTAGTAAAAAAAAAAATCTAAAATTTTCAGATCCCGCTTAGTTTTTTTTTTGGTAAGACCCGCTTAATTTTTTTATTCCAGCGGGAATTAATTTTTCAATTTAATAAATAATAATATTTTATATAAATAGATCACTAATAAATTGTTGGATTTAGGGCTTCTAAATATTCTCTTAGGAGGAACCGTCACATAGCTTAATTCAGTCTCCCACAGATCACGATTCAGATTCAACAGAAGGTTTATTGACAGAAAGTGAGTTTTTCTTTCCTCTATTTATGAAATATCATGCAGTTTTGGTGACCGTCTCCGGAAGACTTATAGTTTGCCATTAGAAGACTTATAGGTGACGTAGTAGATCAATCAAAGGTAACCAATTTCGATTAGTAACCTTAATCTGGATTTCTCCATTCCCTTACATTTTTTTTTAATAACCGTGCTGTAGCAACTTGTGTTAAGTATGGTCCAATTTGGCTTGTGTCTTAGCTTCTAGAAGCCAAAGTAAAATTTTGGAAATGTTTCAGTAGAGGCGATCTCTTCAGGAAAAAAAAACTGTCCAGAGCATCCATGACGAGTACGTTGTGTTGGTCGTGGGCCCACACCTTCAAGATTAGTGAAACATTCAAGTGCAAGTAGAAGACAAGAGATAGAAAATTCTGAATTGGTCGTCCAGCTGAAGACACAAGTGAAGGCATTAGGTGATCAAGTTAATGGAATGTCTACGTTCTTCCAACAAATACTTGGTACTTCAACCGGTGAACAGGTAATCTATATATAATAGCAATCTAATAAATACCATTTGCACATCTGAACGGTTGCGTCTTTTTATCGCAACTTTTCGTTAATGTTTTTATTAATTAAAATATATATTTTACGGTTATGTTTTTTATTTTATAAATTGCATTCTGAATGTTTTCTACGATTGCATTTTTTATTGTAACTCTTCATAAACAGTTGAAACCGCTTATTCGAATCATTGCAATATTTAGTTTATTTTACGAACAATTGCAACCTTTGGTTTATATATTTAGTTTACTTCACGAACAATTACAATTTTTTGTTTATTTTATAAATAGCTATAATATTTAATTATCTACCGCCACGTCTCTCGGTGTAACTTTTCATAAATTATTATATTAATTCTTAATTTTTAATTACTAAAATGTATTTAAATGAGATTGTAACTATTTAATTGAACTATTTCAACATTTGGATTATTTGACGAATTATTGCAACTTTTGGTTTTGTGTTACGAACCATTGTTATTTTTAGTATATTTGATGAACTATTGCAACATTTGGTATAATTGACGAACCGTTGCAGTTTTTGGAATATTTGATATCTACGGTTGCGTTTCTCGGATAAGTTCGTCATATTTTTAAAAAAATATTTAAATACTAAAATATATTTAAATGAAGGGAAATTGTTAAAAATGCCCATTTTGGTGTGCCCCTTTTCAAAAATGCCCCTTTTAGATGTCCATTTTCAAAAATGCCCCTTTTTAAATATGAAAAATTTATAAAATTTTATTAGGTTTATAAGGTACTTATGGATGGTAACTATTACTTGAAGACTCGATCCAAGTATTTATAAGATTTTATAAGGTGTTTTTAAAGGTTTTACAAGATATTTTAAAGGTTTTTAAAGGTTTTTCAAAGGTTTTACAAGATATTTTAAAGGTTTTTAAAGGTTTTTCAAAGGTTTTAGATACTTATTTGTGTATGTTTTAATAATGTTACATACACAAATAAGATTTTTAGATACTTATTTGTGTATGTTTTAATAATGTTACATACATATTTGGGTAAATCTTA